GGCCTGTCCTGATCATGTTGTGAGTGGATTTGGTGCCCGAGCTGGCGGCGGCGCCCGGGGGGAAAAAGCAAGCGGGGACAGGAGGAGGAGGTGGGCCCGGAGAGACGACGGCGGAGATCCGCGCGAACCCCGCGACCCACGAGGAGGAGTAAGGGACCGACGAACCGCCGCGCCGCGCCACCTCTGACAAAAAACAAACGCCACAGGGCCTAAGGCCAAGTAGCGAACCAAAGGCGACTGGAACACGGGTGAAACACGGCAAACGCACGACGCGCCAGATCGGCGCGTGCCCTGAACAACTAATCGGTGAGTGAGGGGGCACAACAGGCGGCTAATCGATGTGTGACTAGAGTGACTGATCGGTGTGTCAAGAAAACAACAACAAATCAGTGCCTGTTCGATGCATGACCGGCCGAATCAGGGACTGCACCGCGGTGCCCTGCTCGCACGTTGCGAGGAAATCCAGCAGGAAACTCACATCATGCCACCGTGGGTCCAGCGTGTTGCCGCCGTGCAGCGCGCAGTGGGCTCTCCAAGCTATCTTGCTCTGGCCCCCTGGCTGCTTGATGCGGGCCACGAGCTGTTTCTTGGGTACGCCTGCCGGGCCAGACACGTGTCCAGCCGACTCAGGGCCCTCGGCTGCTCCGGGCTGGCCAAACGGGCCTGCCGAGGCTGGCGGGGCGCGAGTGCCAACCGATTGCCGCCCGCGCATTTGTAGGGAGCGCAGGAAAACGATCACGACCTGTCGTGGGACCATTTCTGGGCGAGCTCGCCCTGTCTCTTCAGGTCTGTAGTCCCATATGAAATTATCCCAGTGTTCACGAGTCCGCGGGGAGTCAGCCCACGCCTCCTTGACCATCTGACAGAGGTCATCCTGCACTAGCCGTGCGCGGCAATGTCTGTCCCCAAACACTGCTTCCGCGGCAGGCGCGTGGGTCATGATTGGTGGGGGACCGGTGGGGGGCACGCGTCTGTCGTGCGCTGCTGCCTCCGCCGCCCGCAGCGAAGGCTGCCAATCTGCCGTCCGCGTCGTAGTCGACAAGACAGCAGGCGCGAGAGGACTCTGGATCTCTGTTCGCGCGCTGACGTCGTCCGCAGCTTTGCTGTCCGAGCGCGAAAGGTGGCCGTGCGCGCCCAGGCCCGGTGGAGGCAGGCCGCTGTCCGTCGCGGGGGGAAAACAAATCCGCGGTCCGACCCAGGAAGATTGCGAGGTGGACGAGACGTCGCGGGTTGCCGAGCTCGGGGGTCTTCCGCCCGCCTTCCGAGCCCGCGCCGCCCGCATGTGAACAAAACACACATGCACACGCGCACATACACACGCATAAACGCACACACGCACACTTTCGGAATCGGCGGCGCAGAAGAACCTCCGGCGCGGTCGGCAGATGGAAGTGCCACTTGCGAGCGGACTTCGTCGAACGCGCCGTGATGAAATAATGCAGCCACGGCCATGCAGATTGGGTGGTGGTGGTGAAATGATCAGGCAATGCAGCGGCAACGTGCAGCAGCCAAACATCCCGCGCAGCACAGCTCGACGCAGGAGTCGGAGAGCGGGCAGCAGTCTGGTGCTAAGCCGCCAGTCGAATGCAGTGGCCAACCATCCCGCGGAGCGTAGCTCAACGCCAAGAACTGAAACGCTGGCAACACACTGGTGCTAATAAACCAACGCGCGCACACGTAAGCGCACGCACGCACTCACGCATACACGCACGCACACACACACACACTCACGTACACACGCACACACAGACGCACGCACACACGCACCTGCACACGCAAACGCACATGCACACATTCACGCACACACACGCACACGCGCACACGCACACACACATACAAACACGCACACGCACACGCACACACACACACACTCATTCAATCGCACATTCAGACACGTTCCCACTCCCTTTTTCCCAGCGTTCCCATGCCCATTCCCATTCAGATTTCCATTCACAATCGAATTCGCACACACACAGAGACTTTTGGCGTCGCGGCCACGCGCGCGGCGGCGGGGCGTAGAAGGTCGGGTGCAGGCAGTGAAGCGCGCGTGTACGCCCGGCCGAGCACTCAGGCGGCAGCCATCACCATCCGGGCATGGATGCGGGGAGGGGCGGTGAGCAGACGGTGAGGGTTGATGGTGACATAAACCAACCGAGACTGGAAGGCGGGGAGAGCGAGCAAGCAAGCGTGGACCGACGAAGGCGTGCGTCAAGGAGCGACGGGGAAAGCGAGATGAGTGCGGCGGAGCCGCAGAAAACCGCAAGCCGAAGGAACCGCGAAATCCAGCGGAGGCGGGGCGGTGCGCCGGAAACGGCGGCGGCCGAGAGAACAGTCCCCGAGGGGGCAGCCCGGGCCGGCTCCCCAGGTGGGGGAGGGCCTGGCGCTGAGCGGGGAGGTGGGCGCGAAGGCGGACGGAAGGCGGAGAGCGGTGTGGCGGCCCAGGACCACAGCGGCAGCACAGGGGCCGCAGCGGTCGATCCCAGCTGGGAGGGGCCGAGAATGTGCCGCCCCAAGAGAGGGGGGGGGGCGCGCAGACGCCGAGGCCCTGTGGGACCTGGGAGGAAGTCAAGAACGCGCGCGGGAGCACCACTCGGGCAACGCTGACCGCAGGGAAAGGTGTGACCTGGAACTGAATGAGGGGAGGAGCCCGTTCACAGTCACCTTCACGTCCTAACCGATCCCGCGAGGGCAAGGACCCGCCCAGCGAGGACAGGGGCCGCGGGCGGGGTCCAAAATATTTCACAACATGCATTTGTAATCCGCCAGCTCTCTTGTAGGGCCATCAGGCTGCGGGGATGCGGCTTCCTGCAGCCTGCGCCAGTTCCAGTTTCCAGTCTCCGATGTTATAGTTTTACTCCCAGCCTCCTGTAATCATTTTCTACTGTCCGCGCGAGGGTGGGGGCGAGATATATGTTACAACCGTTTGGCACAGAAAAATTAAGGCACCTGTAATATCACATTATCCTCTCGAGCCTGCGGAAGAGCATGCCGCCAGATATTGTCCTCCGAAGTTTAAGAACGGTATTATAAGTGTTATATTGTTGAGAGTGGGTGTCGCCAGGCCGCCGCGTGTAGTGCGCCGCTGGCGCGGCACGGGAAACTCGTTTGGAACGGTATACAATACAAATGCACACTCACATTTGATCCTGATCGATTCACTAATCCCGACGAGACATTTCACTGTCGGTCACAAAAGGAGAACAATTGCCGCCGACACTGTCATGCCAGCGGCTGTCATAGCTGAACTTCGCGTCAATGCCATGTATAAACATGAATTCGTCTCGTACGGATTTCTGCCTGGCGTACCAAGAACGTCGGGAAATACATACGGGAACAAACGGCAATTTATACATTCTATACGTGTGGCAGGCGAGCGTGGCGCTAATTACCAACAGTGGCTCGTTGCATGCACTGACCATCTTAACGAATACCTTCGAAACAACACATGTGGCCGACATGTTGAACACTCCCACGGTGCAGGAAAGCACGCGACTAGCCCTGGATGAAGTGACAATAAGCCGATGCCAATTCAAATGCGCGACTGTGTGACACACGTGACAAGAATGGGCAAGACAATCACTCACGTGACCTCGCCGTGCTATGAAGATCAAGAATCGAGAACAGCCACTGAAAACAGAAACGGGCAGCGGAGATCGCGTATACTCGCTTTGAGCTCGGACAACACGGCTCGGTCTTTCAACTAACATCCTTCACTGGTTTTTATGAGGCAAGCGATCGCTTGAGTAATCTTACTGCCGACGCTCGAGCGTAGGCCTCCACGAGGGACGCACATGGGGCACGCGCCCCCAGGTACTGGCTCCTCTGCTTGCCCCTCTGTATCGTGCTCGTTTTTTTTTTTTTTTGTTTGTTTTTTTTGGGGGGGGGGCTCCGTGGCATTCGGAAGTGGGCGCAAACTAATTTAACAGTTTTAACGCCGGATTGGGCGGAAACTGCTTTAACAGTTTTAACGCCGGCGGCGCCGAAACAGAGGATCGTGCTCGTGGTGGGTGAGCCAACGGTCATGGCTATTCCACGCCCTTCGCAAGAAGGCGCGCCCTGTGTAGGTGAGGTTGAGGTCCTCTGCGCGGGAACTGGCACACAGCGTCGCGGATGGTCTCCTCCTTCGGCGGTCGTTGTGACGGTGGGGGCGAGGGCGGTTAGGACTTCGCCCTCTTGCCATGAGGCCGTCCCCTGGGGGCAAGCTGGTCACGCCGCTTGTCTGAGCGGCCCGGTGTTTGGTGCTTGTCCCTAGTTGGGCCTATGATAGTATCGTGGGAACGCTTCATATGTAACAGCCCACGTGAGTGGAGCGCCGGATTGCGTTTTCTGCAAAGAAGAATGTGAAACATAAATGCGCATCCTTCGCCGTCGTTCGTGTAGAAGTAATTGTCCGAACCCTGGTCGGCATAAACATAATCACGGGCGTGACGTCTGTATCAACTTGCCACTGCTTTGTCATTCTTTTCGCACAAGCGCGTAGGCCGCCAGGGGCGCTGCACGTGCCAACGCTGATTGAGTGAAAAGTCAACGGCTATGTCAGCCACTGTACAACTTCGAGATCGGGCCAGCTCTGACTAACGCACCTGCAAGTTTGACCGTGGTGATGAACTCAAAGACGGCGAATATGGCTTGATAAGCATCAGAAGTTTGATATCTATATGGAGCCCTGCGTCATCGAGAAAGACATCTACCCTTACTCCTGCATCCCATCGTTTCCTCCCCATCCAATGTTGCACAAACGCAAATACAACTTGCTCTGCGCTAGCGGCATTCGCTTACGGCCAATGTCCACATTGACCAAGCATGTGCAGTGCGGCGGCTATCAGGCTAATATTCTTCTACCTGCAGGATGAAAGATCACAAGGAACACTGAACCAACAGTAATATTAAAAAAGCCATTACTACTTCGACGTGCTCACGCCTGCGATATCACAACGGAGACTAAAATCGTAATCCTAGTCAGTTGCTTTGTGCTGACCTGTCGCTCTAGCCACCCTTGCCTAGGTCGTCATTAGCGCAGACCACATCCTCATGGATGGGTGCTGCAAGAGCTCCTTAGTTGATTCACTGATTCACTTTGCAAGGTGCCATGCCACATGCGAAGCGGGCGTTGCATCAGAAACAACCATGCCACATGAAAACAGATCTCAAAAGCCAGTTGAAGCAACCTGGAGGAACAAGTATGGGACCGCCGGCACGCATGGCAAGGCACGGGCAAGCGATGACAACCACGTACTACATAAATGCTCGTCCCTGGGTCTGCTATAGTCGCACTTTCACTTATGCTCTTTCCTGCAATCATGCGCACGTAGGCAGGGGAGGGGGAAATTTGAACGGGTCAGGTACTCATGTGAGACATGTGCTGTCGCAGCCACTGGCATCATACTTCAATCACCACAGCACATGAGCCACTCGTGAGGGGGGTAGTGCTGGGTGCAACGGTTTCGCGAGTATCTTTGGGTGAACGCATGTCTTTCTCTGGCCAAAGACTTCGAGATCAATGATGAGGTCATGCATTCAGGAGCAGAGCTCTGCTGTGCTGATGTGCTCAGTTCTGTAGTGATCATGGGGGCTGCACTTTCGCATACCAGGAAAGTGCACGCGTGATTGCATACGACACGATGCATCAGACTAAGGCTCGCGCTAAAATCTCTGCGGACGTGGGTCGCTGATCGGGGTCTTGATGCCAAGCCTTTTCGATGAATGGCCTGGCAATGCAGGTAAGCAGTCTGACATAACATCTGCCTAAGACCGAAAACAAGTGGGATGTGTCAGGGGGACAAGAAGAACGGCAGGCTAAGCCACACAAGAAATTCAAAAAGGAACACGACACAATTTAGGTGATAAGAATTTTATGAGAGAACGGCGCGCGACTGCGGAAGAGACCACTGAAAAACGGCAGGGCCACCGTGAACCGCGGTGTGGTGACCAGCTTGCTTCGAGCGCAGTGCAGATGGTCACATCAGCGAGCAGCTACTGTGTGGAACGTGAGCGCATGCGGAGGTAGGGTGGGGATCCGCCGACCCCTTGTGGGTCTCTAGGCGTGTGAGATGATTCCCCCCCAGGGACCCCAAACTGGACCCCCCTGGCCCCGGACGAACGCGTCATGGGAGCATAAAGGACATCAAAACGGGCCAAGAGGGCCCCAAGTGGGCCCCAAGACGATCCAAGAGGGCCCCGAATCGTCGAATGATCCTTACAAGACGCTCAAGATGGCATCCAGACGGCCCAAGATGCCTCCAAAACGCCCCAAGAGGCCTCCCAAAAGGCACCCAAGAAATGAACATTGCCCCATTCCTTTCGGAAAACGTATGTTTTAAGCATATTCGCCTCTTGCGCTTTCATACCGTGCAAGACGGCCCAACAGACCCCTAGGACAGCGCCAAAACGGCCCACAAGGGTCCCAAAACCGCCAAAGAAGCCCCGATGACGGCCCCAGAGGGTCCCCGGACGGCGCCGAAAGGGGGCTCACGGGGGGAACCCGTACCCACATTTCCAGCCTTCGACCCCAGGACGCCCCCAGGTTGTTGCTTCAAGAAGCCCCTGACACGCCCCCAAAAGCCCCCAGGGAGCCCGAACAGAGCCCCCAAACGCCCCCAGGAACCTCCCAGGAATCGGACAAGCCTCGTGGAATGCAGTCCTGGACGCGCAGTATTTTATAGAGTGGTCGGCGGATGTGGCGTAAGCCTATAGAATTCCACGTCCGGAGGGTGACGTGCTGAGCGGCAGCGTTTTCCGGCGAATGCCTTAATGCAACGTATCCAATGTATCCAATGAGTGCATAATTGCCACATATCGTACTGTGTTACATTATTATGTCTCCCCCCTAACCGGGGCTACGCCACATCCGTCGACCCAAAATGGCCATCCCCATTTGGGGCTCAAAAACGTACCAATGTAAAATCGATGATTCGGAACTTTGGGCCCTCTGGGAGGCCCAATAGGGCCTCAAGACGGCTCCATATGGCTTCAAGCCGCGCCAAGACGGCTCCAAGACGGTCCACGATGCCCCCAAAAAGGGCCGAATAAACTCCTAAGACCTCCGAAGAGGGCCCCAAGACGACCCCCAAGAGTGCCTTCAGAGGCCAAAATCACACTTGTTGGATGATTTTAGCGTTCTCGCCTCTCTCGACTCTCAGAAGCCCATGGCCGCCCAGGCAGCCGCCAAAATTGCCCCCAAAAAACCTAAGAAGCCCCCAGGAGGGCCTCCAAACGGCCCAGGAAGGCCCCAAGACGGCCCAAAGAGGCCCCCAAGGCGGTCCAAAGAACCCCTGAGACGGCCCAAGAGGACCCCAAGAGAACCCCAAGGCGGCCGCGAGAGGCCCCCAAGACTGCCTCCGAAGGGGCGGAACGGCGCAAAAGCGCCCCAAGACGGCCCAAAACGCCCCCAAGAGGCCCCGAGAGGCCCCCAAGAGGCCACCAAGGGGCTCCCCAAAAAACCCAAGAGGCCTCCAAGAAGTCCCCAAGAAGCCTCCAAGAGGCCTCGAAGAGGCCCCCACAAGGCCACGCAACGACTGGAGTGTAATTTTATTTTTCTCTCCCTGGGCGAACTGCGGCGCAGCGCCAGCCAGGTGGAAAATGGTCACGGCGGCGCCCATGATTAGAGCCGGCGCTGGAAGGGAAGATGGGGAGGGAGTATGAAAAGGAGGGGGGAGAGGACCCAAAGAAGTCCCCAAGAGGCCCGAAGAAGCTCCGAAGAGGCCTCCAGGAGGCCCCCAAGAGGCTCCCAAGAGGCTCCCAAAAGGCCCCGCGACGACGTGACTGTACGTGCTCTGGACGTGCACCCCGCGAAGCGAGAGGAATCCACGTCCGGAGGTGGCATGTTGCTGGGGGCAGGTCTATAATGCAACGTATCCGATGTATCCAATGACTGCGCAATTGCTGCATATTGTTTGTATTATGTCTCCCCCCTAACCCCCCCCGATGCCACACCACTTCCGCCGACCCAAGATGGCCACTCCCCTCCTGGGCCTAAAAACCTACCAAAACCTATTGACAGTCAAGGAGTTGGGCCTGTTGGCCCTCTTGGGGGCCCAACAGGGCCCCAAGACGGCTCGAGATGGCCCCAAGACGGCCCAAGACGGCCCCAAGACGGCCCAAGATGGCCCCAAGATGGGCTACAAAGACCCCAAGACGCCCCAAGAGGGCCCCCAGAGGACACCCAAGAGCACCTCCAGAAGCCAAAAACTATTGACTTTCCCATGGTTTATTGAAGATTTCAGCGTTCCCGCCTATTTCGACTCTCAGAACTCCAGGACGGCCGAAGCAGCCTCCGAAGTGGCCCCAAGACGGCCCAAGAAGCCCTCAAGAGGGCCCCAAAACGGCCCACCCAAAGAGGCCGCCGAGATGCCCCAAGAGGCTCCCAAGTCGGCCCACGAGTACCCAAAGACAGTCTCCGACGGGACCAGACAGCGCGAGAGCGCCCCCAAGACGCACACACGGGGCTCCGAGAGGCCCCCAAGAAGCCTCCCAGAGGCCCCCAAAAGGCCTCCAAGGGACCCCCAAGAAGTTCCCAGAGGCCCGACAACGACTGGACTGTACGTGCTCCGGACGTGCACCCCGCGAAGCGGGAGGAATCCACGCCCGGAAGTGACGCGTTGCCGGAGGCAGGTCTGCGGAGGCGATAATACAACGTATCCAATGTATCCAATGACTGCACAATTGCCGCATATTGTATTGTGTTGCATTATTATGTCTCCCCCCCTAACCTCCCCCGAAGCCACGCCACATCCACCGACCCAGAAATGGTGGACCCCTCCTGTGCCTCAAAACCTACCAAAACTTATGAGAAATCAATGATTTGGGCCTCTCGGGCCTCTTGGGGGTCCACAGCGACGTCAAGATGGCTCAAGATGGCCCCAAGACGGGCCAAGACGGCCCCAAGACGGCCCAAGATGGCCCCACGATGACCCGAGAAGCCCCCAAGACGGCCCAAGAGGGCCCCACGAACGCCCACAAGAGCGCCTCCAAAGGCCCAACATATTGTTTTCCTGTAGGTTTTGTAAACGATTTTACCGTTCTCGCCTTTTGGGGGTCTCACAAGCCCGTGACGGCCGAAGCAGCCTCCAAAATGACCCCGAAAAGGCACCTATGGGGGCCCCAAGACGGCCCCAGAAGGCCCCAAGACGGCCCAAAGAGGCCCCCAAGACGGTCCAAGAGGCCCTCAAGAGGGCTCAAGAGGACCCCAAGAGGGCCCCAAGAGGGTCCCACAGGCGGCTGCGAGAGACCCCCAAGAAGGCCCCGAAGGGGCCAAACGGCGCAGAAGCGCCCCAAGACAGCCCAAGACGCCCCAGAGAGGCCCCAAGAGGCCCTCCAGAGGCCCCCAAGATGCCCCAGGAAGCCCCCAAGAGGCCCCACAACGACTAAACCGTACGTACTCCGGACATGCACCCCGCGAAGCGAGAGGAATCTACTTGTTATCAATTTCGCCGATGCAATGCTTCAAGCGCGTAGCGAAGTACAGACAGCGCGTGGAGGGCAGAGTGTGCCACAAACCTGAGCGTGCCCCGCCGAAATCATCAGGAACGAAGATCGGCAGGAACAATTTTGTGCGAACATACGCAGTATTCTCAGCTCAGGAGCTAAACCGAAACGGGCGACATGATATGGGGAAACAAAAACGCCACTCATTATCGGGAGAAGGAAAATACAGAAAGAAAGAGAGAGAGAGAGAACAAATGATCGTATCGACTATTGAACAGCCTCAACTCCTGGTCAGGCACGAGCTTCAACTCCTCGCGGTTGCCTGATGCACTGTTTATTTGTCAGTGAATGAAGACGAACCTGCAATTGCACTGTCAGAATCACTTTCAACGACCCTCCGACCACTAACAGCCACACACTAATTGGTCAGGTGCACGCTGGGAGGGGGAGGGTGATATGGAGAAGGCGAAGGGCGGAGGAGGATGATGCGAGGGTGACAAAAGGACAGAGGGAGAAGAGGAAGAAGGAAAAACATTAAGATGTCGTAAGAGGATGGTTAAGGAGGGAGAACGTGGAGAGGCAGAGGAATACGAGGATGACGAGGAATACAAGGGCGAGGAACATAAGGAGGGGGAGGAGGACGAGGAGGATGAGGAGGAGGAGGAGAAGTAGGAGGACGAGGAGGAGGAGGAGGAGGACAATCAGGGCGACCGCAACCTGGAACCGCTCTTGCTGCTGAACCGATATGCTGATACGCCAGTTTACGTCGCGCCGGTTTGGGCGAGCCGGTATGCCAATAAACCAGTATCGGATACTGGCGTGAGGAACGCGATACGCCGATACACCGATCTAATATACCGGCCCCGCGGAGCTGATATGCCGACATGCCAATGTGGCTGTCACTGCGGGCGCCCCGCGGCCTCGGCATGTCAGCACATCGGCACATCGGCTCGGCAAGCCGAACTACTGGACCAGTGTATCGGTGGATCAAGCTGGGGGAACCGAAACCATAACTCGGCCTATCTCAGGCGAGACAGAAGTACCACTACCACCAGCTAGGGGGGTGGCCGCTCCCTCCCCACGAGTTGGTGGCACCTCCTTCCGGGAACTCTCTGGAGGCATGCTCGGAACGAGGTGCCACCAGCTCGAGAGGGTGGGACAGCCACCCCCGTAGCTGGTGGTAGTGGTACTTTTGTCTCTGGCGCCTATCTTCGTATCTGATTGCCCGAGCCGAATTCCTGGAACGGTTTATCGGCATATCGGCTCAAAGGCGCCGGTTCGCTAGATCGGCATATCAGCGTATCGGCCCGGGCGCGCCGATCGGTTTCGCATATGCGAGGGGCCCTGTGGAAAGGGCCCCGACGCGTTTGTGGAACGAGCTTTGGGCTTGCGTGCAGGAGTTCTGGGGTCGCGGGCCTCGACGACGGCCCAGAGGAACGATGTTGGGGGGACCTGTGTGGAAAGAGCCCTGCGGCCCTCTGTGGAACGAGCCGTGGGCGTCGTAGGCTCTGACGGCGGCCCAGTGGAACGAGCCCTGCAGCCCTGTGTGATCCAGGGGGGCCCGACGGCGCAATGGAACGAGCCCTGCGGCTCTTTGAGGGCCGGGGGGGGGGGGGGCTGCGACAGCGGCCCAGTGGAACGAGCCCTGGGGGCTCCGACGGCGATCCAGTGGAACGAGCTCTGCAGCCCTCTGGGAGCCGGGGGCCAGTCGGCTTCTCACCCTTGCAAAAAACTGGAGCGCTCTGGTGGCGGAGGACCTGCGCGCGGCGAGACCGCCGGCGCTGCTGGAGCCTATGCTGTCAAAGCCGCGCCCGTTGAACGTGACATTGCGGTCGATGGCGGCTTGGATCCGAACGGCTTCAGTTCCAACTCCTCGTCACTGCGCTCCTCGCGCCTGCCCTCTGTGGCGTGGGCGCCCACCGGGGCCCGCTTGGCGTTGGCCTCGGTGTCCGCGCCGTCGTCGCCGCGGATCTCGGCCGCGTCGATCTCTCGGCGCCGCTGTCGGGGCGTCTGGCTCGCGCGCAGGCATGCGACCGCCGCCGCCATCCTTTGCGTGCTTCGCCATGTCAGCCAGGATCTTGGGCTTGCCGAAGTTGCGAGGTGCCTGCTTGTCACGGCGCTTCCTGTCACTAAACGTTGATAGCATGGTGCGGAGGTTCAATGCGCTCCTCTCTCCTTCATCCGACGTCCACGTCAAACCCTTCCCTTCGAGCCGCTTCTCGAACTTGCGGGTCGAGGGCGCTAGTGTAGTATGAGGCCGGTGGGCGCCGCAATGGCCGCGTTGATCTGACCGAGCGATTTTCTCGACGCCGGCCAGTCGGACGTCGGCCCAGGTTTCGTCGCGCGAGACGCGGGCTATCAAGACTTGAGCGCGCGCTGCGACTTTTCTACATGGAAGACGAACTTACTGAATGCCCGGGCACTTCCCAAGTCGCAACCTCGAGCCCGATGGGGCGCCATTGTGCCGAAGCGGTTATGGGCTGGAGGGGGGGGGGATGGGGGGGCCGGGGTCGAGCCGGGATGCGCCAGCGATGCGGTAATGGGCCCTCCCGCCGCAAGTCCCCTCCTCGAGCGGTCCGTGCAAGCCTTCGCTTCCACAGGCGAGGGAGACGCGCCCCCGCCCCTGAAAACCGGCGCTGCTGGGCCCTGCCACTGTGGCGAGATCCCTGCGCCGACGGCAGTGTCCGCGACGCGCGTGGCGCCCCGTGCGCGGCGGTCTCCGTGGCGTCGCGGTTCGCAGCCTGGCGCTTGACGGCTGCAGGCCGCCAGGGGGGCGCACGGCTCGTGCTCCGTCCCTGGCTCGATCGCGCCGGCGACGTGCTTCGTCGCATCTTGCCCCCCCTCCTTGTCCGCCAACAGGCGGGAGCGGCGCCGGCGGCGGGGGCGGGGGGCGCGGAGAAAACGAGGTCGACAACATATGACAAGAACGATTAAGAGGACGTCCACGCAAGAGAAGGATGGCGGCGACGGCGAGAAACGAAGACTACGACGGACGAGGGCCAGGCGACGGCGCGAAATAGCTAGTCGTGAGAATAGAAAGCGACTGGCCCACCACGGGTGAAGCCCTCGCGCGACCTTCCACCGAAGTGCGACAACGACGAAGACGGCGGGGGCGGCGCCGACGAAGCGCGCCGACGACGACGACGGACAACGACGACGGATGCGGCGACAACGACGACGCGCGACGTCGACGACGGACGAGGGGGACTTCTATGACGACGGCTGACGAGAAGAATGGCAAGCTCTGTAATTAGTGGTGACAACTCTGCAAATGACGGTAATGCAGGAACGCATGTCGTCATCCCATGGGCGCTGATGGGCTAGCGTGCTGGCAGTCTTGGGCGCAGCAACCGAATCGTGCATCGTGCCATCTAGTTTTTCTAAGTCATCATAACAAGATCTACCATGACATCGTTCTGCTGCGTGGGTGTAAGGGTCCAATGGCATCTCTTACGGGAATCCCTTCTCTTTTTGCAGGGTGTGTATGTATATGTATATGTATATATATATACACATAAAATCATTTTTTACCGATGGTGTTTGAAAGTTTTCGTTTGCTCTTTGCAGTATTCCTTTAAACCTTACTCGCGCGTTCTAGCAACGCCGTTGCTTGGCGAAGCTCCTCTCTCTATATTTAAATATGTGCATCTGCCCGCCCCCTGTGATCTCAGCCCGTTGCGCTTCTAACGGCAAACGCGCCGCGCCCGAAATCAACGACAAATGCACATAACTTCTCCCAAGAAAACCCCAGAGGTGGTGCGTCCACCGTGGCGCAAGTTATGCAATAAAAAACCGAGGGTGAGGTGTTGAACCCGATGCGTTAATGGTGAGCAACCCGCATCATCGCCAACGAAACAGGCCCATCATTCCTCCATGTTGACGACGATAATAAAAGAAGAGCCCTCAAGGGGTGCGTCCACCGTTGTTAATTTTTCTTCAGAGAATCAGAGCGCGGGCGATGTTAACTGTTCCATCTGCTCATTTCTAATCGCAGATGCGCTCGCCGAACTTCAGCAAACAAATGCACATGCATCATCCCTCTTGACGACGGTAATCAGAAGAAGACAACCTTGAAGGGTGCGTCCGCCGTGGCCCAAGGTTCCTTAGACAGCGAACTCGAAGGCATTTTTTTGTTATACTGATGCGTTCCTGATGGCAGACGTCCCGCGCGCCGAGAATCAACGAAACGTGTGCGTTTTTCTTTCGCACACACACGCATACACACATATATATGTATATATATATACACATATATATATAGATTCAAGGCAGTGTGTATGTATAAACCTCTCAAGGGGTGCGTCCGCTTTGGCGGGTAACACAAGGATTCCTGTTGTGGCGGGTTACAGAGAGGTTCTTTGTGTAGCGGCCTGACAGAAGAATTTCACGTGTAGCGGGCAGAACAGGGACAACAAGCACGAACATCAAAACCAACACAACCCAAGGAAAACCAGCAACGCCTTCTTGTCCACCCAAGAAAACTAACGCGACCTACCTAGGTTTTGTTAGTTTTTCCATTATGAACACAAGGATTCCTTTTGTGGCGGGTTGCAAAAGGACTCCGTTTGTTGATATTCCAATGGGATTCTTTTTGTGGCGGCCTTGCAACAGGATTCCCTGTGGCGGGTCAAGCAGGGAAAACCAGCAGCATCAACAAAACCAACATAACCAAATGAAGAAGCACCAGCACCTCCCTGACCACCAAAAAAACAACGACACCTAGGTTTCGTTAGTTCTTCCATTCGAAATAAAAAGGGGTCCTTGTGTGACGGCTTTACTTTGTTGCGGATTACGAAGCATTTTTTGTTGCGAATGCCAATAAAGATTCCTGTCATGGCGGCCTGGCACAATAAATCCGTGCGATGCAGGAAGGGCAAGAAACACCAACAACAAAAAACAACAACACCTCCCTTGCCAAATAGACCAACGAAACGTGGGTTCTGTTGGTTTTTCCGTTCGAAGCAAGAGGGTTCCTTATGTGGCAGTCCTTTTGTGGCAGCCTTACAAAGTAATGTCCTTTTCTTTGCGGATTACACAAGGATTCCTTCTGTGGCAGATTACACAGGTATTTCTATTGTGGCGACCTTGCAAAAGGATTTCCTTTGTGGCGGGTAAGGTAAGGAAAACTAACAAAAGCAACACAACCAACAACACCCAGGAAAAAAAACAACACCTCCCTGCCCAGACACGAAAGCCAACAAACCTCAGGTTTCATGAATCTTCCCATTCGAAACACAAGGATTCCTTTGGTGGCAGCCTTACAGCAATGCCTTTTGTTGCGGATTACAAAAAGATCCGCTTGTGGCGGATTACTCAAGGATTTCTTTTGTGGCAGCCTGCTGTTGTGGCGGGTTACATAGGCAATACTGTTGTGGCGGAGTGCAACGCGAATCCTTTAATTCCGAATAGAGAACTAACGGAACCTATTTTTTGTTGCTGGGCAGGGAGGTTTTGTTGTTTTTTCATTTGGTTTCGTTGGTTTTCCCTGCCTTGCCCGCCACAAAGGGAAACCTTCTGTCATGTCGCCACAGAAGAAATCCCTTCGGAATCCACCACAAAAAAATCAGTTTTGCAATCCGCTACACAAGGAATCCTTTTGTTTAGATTTGAGAAGCTAGCGAAACCTAAATTTCGTTGGCTTTTTTGGTGGCCAGAACGTTTTTTTTTTGTTGGGGGAGGGGTGTTGGTTTTGCCCTACCCGCCACTATACGAATCCTTCCGTCAGGCCGCTACAAAAACAGAAACATTTTGTAAACCATCATAACAGGAATCCTTGTGTGACCCGCCACAAAAGGAATCGAACCCCAATTGGTTAGCAGCGCCAGCTCAAAGCACGAACGCCGCTCAGATAAGAAAAATCCAAGGTGAGGTAAATCACAAGGGCGTGGAGCAAGAGGAAGAGAAGGACGGAGGGGGGGGGAGGGACGGAATAGAAAAGTGGAATGGAGGAGCAGTGGAATGGAGGAGGAGTGGAAAAAAGGAAACGCCGCGAATAGCATCTGTATATTCTAGAAAAAACCACATCGATTTTAGCAGGGGTGGGGGAATGCGCCAGCTCCGTGTTATATATATATATACATATGTATATATGTATCTATGTATATATGTATATATATATGTATATATATATATATATATATATATGGATACATACTATATATAATATTTATATGTGTGTATATATATATGTGTGTATTAGCGATGTTGATGCTCGGGGCGGGGCCGGGGCCAGGGCTGGGGACGGGGCCACGGCCGGGGCCCGGGGCCGGGCCCGAAGCCGCGACCCGGGCCGGGGCTGGGGCTGGGGGCGGGGGGCGGGGTCTGGGCCTGGGCTCGGGGCTCGGGCTGGAGCCCGGGCCGGGGCTGGGGTCTGGGTCTGGGCCTGGGGTCTGGGCCTGGGTCTGGGCCTGGGGCGAGGGGCTGGGGGCGGGGTCTGGGCCTGGGCTCGGGGCTCGGGCTGGAGCCCGGGCCGGGGCGGGGGCTGGGGCGGGAACACCCAAGCCCGACGACCCTCCAGCGAGCTAGCCCGGGAGGGAACTAGCCCGCCCAAGCTCGACGGACGGACACGACGCAAGCGTGCCGTTCAGCACATGCTGCATGCATCGATTGCCAACACCCTCCTTCCGCCCCCTACCCCTCCTTTTCCCCTTTCACCTCCTCCCTCCTGCCTCCTCTCAGTGAGAATCGCACCCTATTAAAAAGGACGAGTTTGCACGGAGCGTCCCAGAGCGCCCCGGATCGGCGGCATAGGCCGGATGCCTTTACAATATGTTGTAACAAACTTCTGGTGGTGCGACAGGGAGGGGCTATTTATAAGACAGAGGGGTGTAGCAAGGGGGAGGAGGCCAATGAGGCGGAGAGAACAGGAGGAGGGGCCGGCAGAAGGAGATGGAGGGGCATTGGGGAGGACGGGAGGGATGAAGAGGGGGAGAGGGATGATAATGATGATGACGATGATGATGATGATGATGATGATGATGATGACGACGACGATGATGATCATGCTGATGATGCTGATGATGCTGATACTGCTGATGATGGTGATGATGACGATGAGGATGATGCTGTACCAGCACCAAAGGACAAACGAGCGCAGAAAACGCCTCAGGGGCTGGGCGGCCGGTGCCTCCCCGGACCATGGCCACGATGACAGAGGGCTCCGATTTCTTGTAAGGTATCCGCCTGGCAGAGACCTTCCCTACCCCTGCGCGTCTCCGTCCCTCCCCCCTCCCCAGTCCTCCTCTGCTGCTGTCGCTGCTGCTGCTCAAGCTCCGGCGGCTTGTTTGCTCGTCTGCAGACGCAGACCCAGCAAGCAGACACTTATGGCATGCGGAAGGCAATGCCTTGCAAGTTTGGCCACGTTCTCCTCAAATCAGGGGACGACGCAACAAGGTCTCACGTCCGTTCAACACCTCCCTTGACTTATGCCTTCACCTTGCTTTGGTTCGGTTTCAACTGCGATGCACCATCGCCAACTCTATATCTTCTCCGAGCGTCGTAGAGGGAAGGCTCGTGTGCAAAGGCCATGGGAACCCATCCTTGCACTTGAAATGACATTCCGACCGAACTTGGCCAAACGACACACACAAATCCCACATCCATAAACGACTCCACCTAGTGGCGCATATCGCGAACCCCTCTGAACATGCAATGACCTCTGAGGTGTCCGTGTGCAGGCTGCACATGTGAAATTCAATGGGCAAGGCCGCAAAATGCCACGAACATTCGCCTTCAGACGATCTCGTACGCAACCACATGCAAACTGAGTTTAACATGATATTCGCAATTGAGACTGACATCACATCATAATCGTCTGCTGTCTCACTGGTTTCTTGCCCACTCCCAAACAACGCTTGCCTCCCACGCCAGAACAGCATACGAATATATGTCGGACTTGGCAGAGTACTTCGGGGCGTTGATGGACAATGCCTGTACACACCGCGGCTGCCGTGCTGCGCTCCTGAGGAAAGACGCGTCCTCCAGGATGGGCTTATGGATATCTGACTGGGCTACTTCTCTTGGCTATAATCACAGATCTGGTCATGGGTATAGGTCCAGCCGTGGTTTTGCCTATGCTCGTGGCTATGACCCTGACCTTGCTCCTGGCATGTTCACGGCCAGAGGGCCACGCTCGTCGTGCGTCCGCCCATCGCCGTCTGGATGGCCGAAAGACAATTACATCAAGTTCGTTTTGTGCTGGCTTCTGCGTTGGTTTCTGACACCGCGTGGATCGTTCAACTTCGAGCGATCGCGGCCTTCCGATATCGCAGAGCGTTCGATGTCGATTGGCCGCTGGCGGCTGTCAACTTTGAACGCCCGCGCCGGGGTCGCCGCCGCGTCGACACGGCACGCGCCTAATGTAATCACGCGTTGGATGACCAAATGGCAAACAGAAATGGGAACAAGAGTGGGATGCCTATCTGTTACTATCAGTTTCCGTAGAGGTAGCATGGTGTTACATGCCATCACCGCTGCTGTTTATCATTACCAAGCACGCTATCACTACCAGATCTGAAGGTGCTACTGTCTAATTCTCTCCCGAAGCCCCTGGACCGCTTACTACTACCGCCACCCTACTTCCATTTACCTTTTACCACTGCTTACAACAACGTGTCATACTGTCACCGCGCTAGACTCTGCCAGCGCGCCCATACTGCGGGTCGACATGTGGTGGGGATGGCGAGGGGTACGAAAGCTTTGGGACGCCGAGCACGGCAATGTGATGCTCTCTTGGGTGGACGTTCGTTCCTCTCTGAAAAGGAGCCTTCGCAGACGCATGCCAGAATAAACATGCTGTCTTGGTAAGTGTTTGGCTCGCAGCATTCAGCGGCTGTGCATGGCTGGGGTTTGTGAACTGTGTGGAGCCCTGCGTCTTCCAGCAACTGCTATAAACAGAAATCCAAAACGAGTGGGCCAACAGAAAGAGTCGGATTAGCACAGGTGAAAAGAGATAGAGGTGCAGATGGGACCACGTTGAACAATATCCAGGCAATATGAAATGCTGCGAAGCCCTGTGAAACAACACTCCCCGTACGTGCTTCTCCGATGAGGAAAACAGCACATGCCGACAGGTCTCAATTTGAAGCGATGGCTTCTGAAACACACAGTTTCCTGTCAAAGATCACCGAGCAACGACGCGTTCACAAACATGATCACATTGGACTGCTGAAACGGCGCTTTACCTAATGGCATGTTCTCACACTTTCTTGCGCAGAGCAAATCTTACCCCACGGCAGAAATATGAAATGCCTGTGCCCGCATGCGTGCGATCATATCAGCACTGTACGCTTCTCCTCATCATTGAAAATAGCAACTCCAGTATGCGCATGCGAGCGAAACGTAGGTCGAACATTATGTGACAGGACGCCATGCCGAATTTGACTTCTACTTGTTTTTTTGGAAACTTCAGCTGGGCGATTTCACCCGCTGCCCGCCAATGGTGGAAACCTGGCGAATAAATTTTGTGAACCTCTGGAGAACTGGCGGTTGCGGCGTTCATCTGAGCGTCGCAGAAACGGAGTCAGTATAAGGCAGTTCAGGATGTTTGCGAAGCCATTTCCGAACCCCCGTTCCTCACCCATAACCTCAAGCCCCACCAAGCAGCGATGGAATCCAACCCAAGAGACACAATGAAACTCATCTGCGTGCTCGCGAAGCAACAATAAGCCGGAATAGCCAAAAACCTATATTCTATGATCGTAGGCACTGTCGCAACTACATGCGTAGGCACTGCCAGTCGCAGACACTGTGTCTAATCACACGGGCAAGTGTCAACGCAAAGGTCAGGAACTGGAAGTCAATCTAAGATTAGTTGACAAGCGACGAGCGGCGTATTCTAGACTCCAATGGTGGGCGCGACGAACAGAGAGGCGATGCTGGATGACTTAAAGCAATGCGGCCGTACAACCAACGAGCGACAAAACCATACACATACGCTACCTATCTTGCAATTGATCTGCACCTGCTCGGCCCAACACGCTTTCGAGCCGCACTGCCCGCGCTGCGTCGACTACCGCTGCTCCCCGGACCTCTCCCAGGGTGCGTTCTGACCAGAACATTTCGGGGCGAATCCGGCGGCGGTGACGAGGGCCATCCAGGAGGCCCCCAAAGGGGGAAAACGAGGGAAGGGTAGCGGTATCGGTACCTTTTACGGACGAGGAGGAGGAAGAGGAGGAAGAGGAGGAGGAGGAGGAGGAGGAGGAGGAGGAGGAGGAGGAGGGGGGGAGGAAGAGGAGGAGGAGGAGGAGGAGGAGGAGGAGGAGGAGGAGGAGGAGAGAGAAGGAGGAGGAGGAGGAGGAGGAGGAGCTCCTCTGACTTGTGGCACTATCTGTGGTAGTGATATGCGCGATGGGTTCGGACACACATGGCACGATCGGCGGAAGCTCGCTCAAAACCGCCCGCGCAGGGCAGGCACGTCGGCCTGGGGCGCGCTGGCGGCACGGGGGATGCCACCTGCGAGGACGGCAGCTCTGGAGGAGCATTGGCGGCGCGCACATTGGGGGTATGGGTAGGAGGAGGAGGAGGAGGAGGAGGAGGAGGAGGAGCAGGAGGAGGAGGAGGAGGAGGAGGAGGAGGAAGAGGAGGAGGAGGAGGGGGAGGAGGAGGAGGAGGGGGAAGAGGAGCAGGAGGGGGAGCAGATGAGGAGAGAGAGAGGAGGAGCAGGAGGACCAGGAGGAGGAACAGCAGGAGGAAGAGGAGCAGGAGGTTGCCAGGGGCAGTTGGGAAGGCATTTTAGAAACTTGGGAGGAGGAGCATTGGCGGCGCGTGCATGGGGGGTTTTAGAGAAAGGAGAAACCGCATAAACGTAACTTTTGGCGCTCCGCGCGGATCCGCGCCGGACCCCCCTCCCTGACGCGCGGAGCGCGCCAGGGGCGGCGCCGGAGGCGCCGCCAGGGGGGCCCAAGCGCGGATGCGGAAGGCATTTTAGAAACTTGGGAGGAGGAGCATTGGCGGCGCGTGCATGGGGGGTTTTAGAGAAAGGAGAAACCGCATAAACGTAACTTTTGGCGCTCCGCGCGGATCCGCGCCGGACCCCCCTCCCTGACGCGCGGAGCGCGCCAGGGGCGGCGCCGGAGGCGCCGCCAGGGGGGCCCAAGCGCGGATCCGCGCGGAGCGCCAAAAGTTTATGTTTAGGTGTTTTTTCTTCTTCGATTTCTAGAAACTTCTTAGAAGGAGGCTGCTTCTGAGAAGGCGCCGGCCCTACATCTATAGGGAACGCCCGCGCCTCCCAGAGGCAGGGGTGCTTCCAAGAAGCCTTCCCCCATCCTCCTAGCCCCCTCTGCGCGTGGCTGAGATACGCACAACATGCACCAGAAAGGCCCCGCCTCTGGTGCAACATAATGGACAGTGCCCACGAACGTCTGATTCGTAAACATTGCGCTGGTGGCGGTGGACACCCTCGCGAGACCGAAGTCCTCCCCGGAAGCTGGCCGTCCGCTCCGCGCAATCGCGATCGATCGGCTCGCTTGTGCGGCCAGACCGACCCTGGGTAAGAGTAGCCTTTGGTGCGCGGCTTTTGGGGGGCTGCAGGGGGGACCAAACACGAGCGCGCAAGACGCTACTATCGCATCGCACTCGGCGATCGGGGGACCCCAGTGGGCCCGCACCAAAGGTCACTCCGGCGAAGGGTCGCTCTTGCGTGCAGTCGAATCGTGAAGAGCCCTAGCCCCTGGGCCCGCGTCCGGTGCCGCGCCTGCCCAGTTACGGGGCCGCCACCTGTGGCTGGAGAGACTCCGGGCCGCCCACCTTCGCGCGTGTTGCGCCCCGCGACGCGCGGTCACCTTCGTGCCCTCGCGGCGCCGCCGCCCTGCAGAGGGGCACACCTTCAACTTCAGCCGGGATGCGCGAAGCGGGATTCGATTCGCAACCTGGGGGTGACCCGAGTCGGCTGCCAGCGACGGGGCGGCAGCGAGAAGGGGCGGGCCTCCTCAGAAAGCTCGGAGGCCGCCCCCCGGCCTTCTGCGAAGTCCTCGGCGCTCCCGCCGAGGACACACGAGACCCCTCCCAGGGCGCGCGAGGGCGTCCGAGAAGTCCCGCCGCCTTCCGAGGAGGCCTTCTCCTTCTCCTTCTCACTCCCCCGCCCCTCGCCCGCCGCCGAATTCCACTCGCACCCCCTGGGGGTGACCCGGGAGAGCCGTCGCCGCGGGGGCAGCTCCAGGAGAGGCTCCTTCTCGTCTCGGCCTCCTCCTCCTCCTCCTCCTCCTCCTCCTCCTCCTCCTCCTCCTCCTCCTCCTCCTCCTCCCTCCTCCTCCTCCTCCTCCTCCTCCTCCTCCTCCTCCTCCTCCTCCTCCTCCTCCTCCTCCTCCTCCTCCTCCTCCTCCCCCTCCTCCTCCTCCTCCTCGGCTCCCCACCGTGGCCGGGCAGGCGAGAGCGCACGGCCTCCTCCCGTTTCGGAGGGGGAGGTCCACGCTCGCCGCCGCCGCCGCGGGGGGCGAGCGCCGCCGCCCGTGGGCCGGCCAGGTCCTGGGCTTCGAGGTCCATGGCGAGGAGGAGGAGGAGGAGGAGGAGGAGGAGGAGGAGGAGGAGGAGGAGGAGGAGGAGGAGGAGGAGGAGGAGGGGGAGGGAAAGGAAACCACTCCCGCTCTCCCAGTCGTGACCCGCAGCCACTCCGTTCCCCCCCCCCGCCCCCCCCTGGCTCGGGTCTCTGTGCTTTCTCCTTCCCGCAGCCTCGTTGCCGCGCATGCTTCCGCCGCCTTCTCCGAGCCCCCTCCCGCCGCCGCGCCCAGTCCCTCTTTCTGTCCCTCCCTCCGCTGCCCTTCGCTTGTGTCAGCCTTTATGCTTCGCAAGTCGGCCCCCGGATTGCGCGCAATTTGACAACGACACCCTCGCAAACACTACTACCCACAAAACTATTCCGATCTCCAGGCGATAACGCGTTCGGTGCAGGCTGGTCACGCGACCCGTGGTACATGCAGTACATCGTGATCTAGAATGCTGCGATCCACAACCCTACCTTTCACTTCCAACCTCACTGCCGTACTCTGACCGTGTCCCGCTTCCAGAGAGGCATCGCTGCGCAACCGTGTCGGGAATCTTCTCTGCCCTCTCAGCCTTCTGCTGCACCTTCTTTCCAGCATATTTTCTTTCCCTTCACGTGTTACGCACTCGCTTGCGCGTGATCCCCAAAGCGTTGTATAACAAAACGATGGCGGTCCGCATCGTTCCCGCACCGACTATGCGAGATCGATCGAGCCAGCCATTCTGAATCTGTCTCCAACAGACTTCTAAGGGGAAGTGCTCGTTTCTGGCTGCTGGCACACGATTTCCCTGGCCCTCTTTAGGACATAGACGCGATAAGAGCGCCGAAAATCACCGCACCGTGCCGCTGACTGATTCGCTACAGAGCATGTGCGCTATAAGAAAAACGACGGCCCCGATTCCAGGAACGGGAGTAAAAAAGAGAGGGCATTATGACCATACACACAGCCCGCGCGTATAAAAACTGAATTAGTGACCCCGTAAGTGTGGAACCATTGAACTTCTGCCCAAGCAAGTTGCAGTTCTAGTAAAAATGAACATGCACCGCGAGAGGCGAGATAAGGTTGTTCATTTCATACATGGCAGGCATCCCACGGAACCGCCGCGGCCGTCCCGCTTCGACATGTGGCAGCACAGGTCCACGAGGCGGTTGGAGTATCCCCACTCGTTGTCGTACCAAGAGACCAGCTTGACGAAGTTGTCGCTCAGGGAGATGCCGGCGGAGACGTCGAATATCGACGAGGCCTTGCAGCTCACGAAGTCGGTAGACACCACCTCTTCGTCGGTCCAGTCCAGGACGCCTTTCATGGGTCCCGCCGCGGCCTCCTTCACAGCAGCCACGATCTCCTCGTACTTCGCGCCCCTCTCCAAACGGCATGTCAAATCCACCACCGAAACATCTGGCGTCGGAACACGGAAGGCCATGCCAGTGAGCTTGCCATTCACCGCGGGGAGGCACTTGCCAACGGCCTTGGCGGCCCCGGTAGATGACGGGATGATGTTCTGCGAAGCGCATCTGCCTCCGCGCCAGTCCTTGCCGCCACGGGACGGCCCGTCCACCGTGAGCTGCGTAGCCGTCATTGCGTGCACCGTAGTCATGAGCCCCTCCACAATGCCAAACTTCTCGTGCACCACTTTGGTCAACGGTGCCAGGCAGTTGGTTGTGCAAGACGCGTTGGACACCACCGTGTCGGAGGTCTTGTACTCAGTGTGGTTCACACCCACGACGTAGATGGGTACGGAGTCCTTGGGAGGCGCGGAGATGATAACCTTCTTGGCACCACCACGTATGTGCAGCTCGGCTTTCTCCTTAGCGGTGAAGACACCGGTGCTCTCGCAGATGTACATGGCGCCCGAGGCTCCCCAAGGGATTGAGGCGGGGTCTTTCTCGTGGAATACCGCGATGTCCTTCCCATCCACGACCAAGAACTCCTTTCCGTTCACCTTCTTAGTGGTTATTGTGCCTGGATACTGCTTATGAACCGAATCGTACTGGAGCATGTAGACCATGTAATCAAGGTCCATGAAAGGATCGTTAATGGCCTTCACGACGACCTCTGGGTTACCGAGCCCCGCGCGGCAGACTAGGCGCCCGATGCGGCCGAAACCATTGATTCCCATTGCGGCGGGCATGGCTCACTCTAGGCCGCTGGGGGTGGAGGGTGCAATCAACGCCACAACTCAAATGTCTAGCTTGGTTACAGGGCTTAAGCCAAAATTAACTATGGACATTCACCCCTGACTCCTCCTCAACTGCGATGAGGGCAACTGAGACGTAACGCTTATGGAGCTATCGATAATAGCAGCATGAAGAGAAACCGATCGTTTAGAGAGTCTGGCTACCGCCAGATACTATCTACCCCACTTGCTCACTAAAGGATGCCACTGGGTAAAGCGTTGCACACGAATGTACTTTGCGTCTCGCCCCGTGGGCACAAATCGCTGTGATTCTACCCCGACGGGCTCCACGCAAGCCTTGCACAACAATTCTCCTGAGCAATGCGCTGTGGGGCATCAGCCCCCTGTGAACGTCGAAAGTGGGAGCGACGCTCGCTTACCCTTCTACACTGACGACACGACATCCGCCTGCGCCGTCCCCCGCTACGCGTCCCCCGCTCCGCAAGCTTAGCGGTATTCCTCTCGTCGAACAGAACGTTGTGGGACTTCAGATCCCGGTGAACCACGTCCACAGAATGGAGATAGTTGAGCCCCTTGATCGCGTCCAGCAGGAAGGCGCGAACCTGGACTGCCCCCAGTATGTAAGGATACGTAAATGACACAACGACACCAGCGAGAGATAGGGCCGACACTGCTACCCCTCTCAAACACACGTCAGGGCCAAGCTTGCATGTGGACATCAAACTGATCCACACTGGCGTTAGAGAAAAAATATCCAGGTGGAAACGGGTGCTGGTCCCCAAGGCTTCCCCCGGCGGGTTCTATCATCCCGAACAATTTTTGAACGGTCCTGGGGCCCGGAGGAGGGCCCTGGGAATCCGCAAACGGCGAGACAACTGCAGGACCCCTTTGCTCCAGGACCCCACTCCTCCTCGGGGCGGACGAGGGTGGGTGGGGCAGCAAGCGGGGGGTTAGCGGATCCGCTCGCGTAGCCTGTTTTCCTGGCGTCTCCCGTGTGGAGAAAGGCGCCCACGTGTGGAGGAAGGCGCCCGGCGGCTGCTTCGAAACCAGCTACGTGCCAAGGCTTTCGACCCCCCACCCCCTTGGCACCCTCCGCCGCTCTCGCCCGGCCCGGTCTTCGTGGCGACCCACGGCCAGCTCTTGACCCCGGCCCAGCCTGGCCGATCCGTCCCGGAGCAGGGGCGCCCGGCCGACCGAGGGGCCGATAGGGCGCCCGCTGGCCCGATCGCCCGACGCGTTGGCCGCGTCGGCGGCGCCCGGATCGGGTGTTGCTAGAAGTGCCCCTGGCTCGGCTACACGCAATTCTGACCCTGGGTAAGAGTGACCTTTGGTGCGCGGCTCTTGGGGGGCCGCGGGGTGACCACACACAGAAGCGCAAGGCGCTGCTATCACATCGCGTTCGGCGATCGGTGGACCTCGATGTGCCCGCACCAAAGGTCACTCCGGCGAATGGTCACTCTTACGTCTAGTCGACTGGCAAAGGGTGCCCCCAGCTGTGCGCTCCATTTTGGAAGCCTTGGCGCCGCCTGGGCCTCGCAAAGGGTGCCGCGGAGACCGTGGGGGCCTCCCTGGGAATCCTGGGGGCACCTTGGGCCAGAGGCACTTCTAGCAACACCAGGCCTGATCAGGGGCTTCTGAGCAGAGCAGCAACCAAGGGGCCTCCCAAGATCTCCCAGGGCCCCCCAAGATGTTCCTCACCAGGTCGCCCGCGAATGCCCCGTCGCGAGCTCCCTCGTCTGGGGGTCGCGGAGACCTCTCAGACGACAAACGAGGCAACGCTCTGGGACTGTTTCTGGGACGCTTCCGGGCCCAAGAGCTCCAAAGCAGAGCCCCAACAAGCCCCGATTCCAAACCGGTTTGGATGGCATTCGAACAGGTCTCGGGCACAACACGGGGATGCTCGCGCTTGGGCCGTCTGGAAGCTGGCCTGGGCCGCCTCGGGGCCTTGTTGACCTTTTCGAGGCCCTTCTCGGGACCCTCTTCGTCCCTTGCCTGCGCCTTTTGGGGGCCGTTTTCGTGCCGCCTTGGGTTGACTTTGGGGAGAGGGGCAGGAGGGAGAAGGGGTGGGGAAAAGGAGGATGGGAGAAGTAAAGACGAGGGGGAGCAGGAGGGGAGGGCACGGCGCCAGCGCGAGAGCTGTTGATAGAAATCTAGACGTCACGCGACGACCTCTCCGACTTCCCTCTCTTCCCCGCTGAGCGGGACACGCCTGCACGGGGGCATCCTTGGTGTGGATGCGCTCGAAAGCGGACTCGATGCACAACTCCTGACACGCCCGCGACTCCGCACGACAATGCTGCTGACGAGTCCGCGCAACCCACGTGGCCGATTCGGGAAACCTTCGCCCTCCACAGGTTGATGTCTCACACTTCCTCCAGCCGCCTTCCGACGAAGGCGGCACGGGCCCAAGGCGAGGCCCCTCCTGGAAGGCGCCATCTTGAGGCGCGAAGTCACCTGTCATTTCCTGGCCCTCCCCGTGAATCTTTTGCTACCCCCTCCTGAGTTCTCAACAGCACGGTGAATCTCAGTGCGTCTGCTGCTCACAGCTTGTCGCTGGAGCCGCAAATCTATCTCTCAATCGCTGAGGTATTCGCTGGCGCACGCACCAGCGATGCTGAATCGTCAAACCAGTGGTCGAAGCCGCACAGCACAAACGATCCTCTCGTGACTCCCCTCCCTGACTGTGCAATACGCTCATGTGTTCCCTTCTTCCCAGCACAATGATCGACATCCCACCCATACCCACAGCACGCCATGTATCCCCATGTGATTCCCAATCGAATTTGCTGCTGATATTCCGCCTGCTGCCGCCTTGCCCACGGCTTCTTCATGACATGGGAGCACGCATGATCGCCGCACAATTGCGACAATTCTTGCGACCCCACCTGGCTGGTTCCGGAAACCCTGAATCCCCCAAAATTGCCAACTCTTGGGAGACAAATTTTTACTTCCGCCGGCTTTCGCCGGCCTTCCGCCAACTTCCGCCGGCGGAGATGGCCCGGTTTTGTTTCCGGCAACTTCCGCCGACCTTCCGCCGAGAAAGAGATGACAACTCCTTCGATCTTCGAAGGCGAAGCATTTTTTGGAACGCCTCACCCGTATCACCACTTTCCATGTCGGCGGGGATCAGCCAGTACCATCAACGAGCCTTAAACCTAAGGGCGTCTCATCACGCCCGCACGCTGCACACTAACACTGTGGCGCGCCAGCGTCAGTGCTATCGACAATGCCGCAATGTGCGCGCGGAGACGCCATCGAGCTGAAAACAGCCCCGCGCCCCCACTGACACACCACACACGACCTGCTATATGTTGCCACAGGCATCTGGAGAGGGTGCAATTGCATGTAATTGCAAAACGTAAGAAGATAGGAAATATGTACGATGGATGGCAGGATAGGGGAGGGAGGAGCAGCAGGCGGAGAAGCGCAAAGCACCCGACCCCCGAGGGGAAAGGCCGGGCGAGACGCCGAACCGCCCACGGGTGGCTGTTGGAACCGCGCCGGATGGGCCAGCAGCGGAGGGAGGGGAAGGAGGGAGCAGGATACAGGCATGGACGGCTGATGTGCTCAGGCTCACTGCTGCGGGTCAGAGAAATCCGGCATCTCTCCCAGGTCTATGCCGTCCACAAGGTGTAACCCTCCTGCGGCTGGGGCTCACCTGACCTGCACGACCTCTGGATACATAGAATGCCGAGGACGCACATGTATGCGCCGAGCAAGCTGCCGATGTCAGGTCGCTCGGAGACGACCATCATCAGCAAGCCCTGGAGCAAGTAGAAAAAACCGCGGCCGCGGTTTTTAACAAGTCCTCCAGCCCACTCGTGCACCCAGACCCGCGTCTTCTGGGCAATGCCCCGGATGTCAGTCATACATTTGCCGTCTGTTTCAGCTGCACATTCTGCTCCTAGCTGGAGCTCAGTCAGGCAAGTCAGTACTCCGAATAACAGCAAGTAGCAGTTCAGCACGTACAGCATTTTCCTCTCGAGGGCAGAGTAGACCGAAACGACATGGATGAAACTGTACAAGCTCACCGCCGCACCTCCAGCCAAGCAGGCCTTACGCAATACTGGCTCATTCTTGATGTGCCACCTCTGAGCTACCTCGAGCTGCTCGCGCTCGCACCGCAGCCTCCGCTCGTGCTGCTGCCACTGCTCCCTCCGCTGATCCAGCCCGTGGAAGTCGATGATTGGCCCCGCCTCCGGACCCGGCCTCGGTGCTGGCGCCTGCCGCTGAGGCTGTGGCCCGGGAATGAAGACCCCGGGGCGCTGCGGCTGCGCGGCAGGGGAGGGCACTGGCGGATACGCTGCGTGCCCGGCCGAACTGTGCGCCTTGGTATTGCGTGACTGCTGCTGCGGCAGCAAGGATGTGCGTCCAGTGATGAGATCCCTGAAGGAAAGAATCGTGATGCGGTCGGGGTCGTAGACAGCGTACACATCGTACCCATTGATCTTCACTGCTGTGTACCCTTGAAGCAGAGTGCGCTTCTTGTCGACACTGTGCGCATCCGCATGCAAGATATTTCCCAAATCCCCCAGCCCTTTGGGGCGTAGGTGGTTCAGGGCGCTTTCTCTTCCCCGTCCCCTTCGGGGAGGGCTTTATCATTGCTCCTTATGAATATACCCCCCTTCCCCCTCCCCCACCCGACCGGCGACAAACCCGAGATCATGATATCCCGTCCTACCATCCATTGCGACAAATGACGCAACATGCATCTGGCAGCAAAATCTGGATCATGCGCGGGCGCACCGCGATCACTTTGCCTGGTTTTTCCCACATCCAAAGTGGGGTTCTTGTTTTCTCTGCACACGCCGCGCAGGATCTCACGCCCCCTTTCCTCTCTCCCTCTCTCACACACCATCATCATCATCATCATCATCATCATCATCATCATCACCATCAACCACCATCATCGTCATCACACGCACACACTCATCATCATTACCATCATCATCACCATCAACCACCATCACCGTCATCACTACTCATCATCATAA